AAAAAAAAGCTTACATGCCTAGGGTAACAAATTCTCCAGGTCAATTGAGTGCGGCATTAACAATTAATAGATTTCGCTCGTAATGTTAACAAATTATAAAAGATACATTAGAGCCAGCTGACATCAGCTGAGCCACAATCAAGTTGCGAAAGACATTTTTCTGCAGTACAGTAAAAGGAGGTTGTACCATACAACTAATTACATTACACGTTATGCTAACATACGCCGAATGGCGCATACCATAAATGAGTTCAAGGCGGATATTAAAGCATTCGTAAGGGAATGGGTAAATTATTTATACTGTTGTCACTACGAAATACCATGTTGCCAAGCATCAGAGTGAAAGTCAACAAACGTTTGCCGTATGGCTGGAAAACATGAATGGATGATGCAGGTAACTTCCATGTTAGCGGCTAGTCCTTCCATTGCGGAATTCCACGGACAACACAAGGCCAAAAGTACCGCATGAAAGGGGTAGAACTGTTTGTTTTAAAGAATCGTCTTCATATCGGTTGCTGCCGATCTGTAAAGTTATAGATGAACGACTATTTATTTTCCACAATAAACAATTTGTACGGGCACGTACAGGTTTTGGACTTCGGGCAGTCTTGCTGTTCCTACGAAATGAATCATATATACAGCGAATCGACATGCGCAACACGTGCGTTCATACATCGCTGCCAACTTCAGTAAATAAGGAACCATGTTCCGAAAATAACATTTCTGGAAACTCAGAAGACGCCAAGCTGTCTCAGACACCTTCAGACACAGCTCAAGCGACAAAATACTACAGAATGGAGAAATGATACAATAAAAACAAACACTGTAAAAACATTACGAACGTTCAACCACACAATTTCACTCGTTTGTAAATATTACAGTCTTATTCAATGGTTTACTTGTACGTACCAGTCTTTCAAAGTATTTCTGGGAAACAACTTATCAGATCTACAATTTAATGCCATCCTACGTCAAATTTACGTTAATCTGCAGCATAAATATTAATACCATCAGCAATAACAAAACACCAAAGTTATAACAATAATAATGACAGCTCTTCAAAACGTCTCCCGGACTTACAAGGGTACGACAATCGGTCGACTTTCAATAACCTTGCAATAGAATCAAGAGTGCCGAGGTGGCTGGAAAATCATAACTTCTCAACCAATTTTATTGTTTATAGTCTAAGCAGTTTATTAAGAATGCCAGCAATGCATATTTCATAATTCTGCGCCATCCCACATTTGTATTTAAGTTGTCCTGCAATGAAGTACTTTCGTTAATCATATCAACGAAATAGTAATCATGCACCATGTCATAAATCCTAACACACAATAAAATACTTCACAATATGCCGCCAGACCAACATCTTTGCTGTTAACCTTAAATATCCTAAATTTAATCCGATAAACCAAAACATAATATTCATACAGTACTAGAAGTGATCTGTTAAGCGTACCGTTTTGAAATAACATACACAGCATGAGATTCTACCATCTAACATATTACCGAATTCTTTCCCAAAAATGTTTACACTAAACTGCCACGAAATATCACTTAAACGCCTCGCACGTACTGTACAATACTCATGTAATAATCTGCAACTAAATCTCGCGTTTTTTCAGGGAGATGGCAGCACACGCATTCACCGTCCAAACCAAAATTAATGCAATTTTATAATAAAATACACAACCTGGGAGATATTGTACGCAATGTGTACATTGAACCTTTTAAACTAGTCACTAACAAGACATTCATAACACTTCTCACGCTGTTAGAAACGAATTTTACAACATCAATTCAAGAAACATCTCAGGAATTTAGGGTTTTGACGTGGGGCCCCGCAGGGTGAAGTCTCCTTACCTGTCCCGTGGGTCAATCCACGTTGTTTTCTTGCTATTGTGATCGATGAAATATATTTTCCCGTCGTAATCCCTTGCAAAATCCCATCCGTCGGGTAGAGGTATCTCTCCATTTCGTCTCCTTGGCATATTTCACCACTTAAATCCATGCAAAAGTATAGCAACTGGCAACACAACTTTAGCTACTCGCCATATTGAATTCCTCATAATGTGTGTATGTGTGTGTATCTGTGTGAGACATCTGACGTCACCTTTACTAGCCAATCGGCAACCAGATGCCTTGAGAAAGGAATGCGCGTATTAACATAACCATGAAGTAACTTGAATGACTTCTATTTGGTCCTCAAGCCCTTGCATGGCACACTGTGAGAGAGAAAGATAATATTCGAGTTTTACATTGCGTCGGAAACGAAAGCCATTGCGAGATTTGGCCGGAATGAAATGCCGCGGTTCTATCCAGTTTTTTACCAAACAGGAAGAAAATGTATTTACTGCATGACGTGATTTTTATTGAAAACATTAAACAATCTACGAGTCAAATGCAGCTATAATAAAACTAATATATCAACCCCTCATCCTAAGCAAACGTATATCACTTGCTTAGCAACGCAATATTACAGCTTATCTCCAAGTAAAACAGCGGGAACGAATTTTTTTTCGTTATGTACACAAAGTTTTGCATGAGGCTGAGACCTTGAGGTCATAGCCGCAAAGTTGGTCAAGAAATTCCTTTTATGGAAGCCGAAGGTTCATTACCGCGATGACAGCCCACCACTCGACCACTTCCTGTCAATTTCATCCAGTTCACACCATATTAGTTTTCTTTCCATGTTTTAATCTATACGTCTCACGTGGCAGACGAGAAGCCTATTAGCTGTGGTCTTCAAGTAATGGGTTATCTCCAAAGTATTCGATAAATTTAAGTTTTATACATATTTGTATTAAATGATGTACACAGTTACGACCATAACGTAAGTGGTCCCCACACGTGGCACTTCTTCTCACATGAAACGATTTTTTAATTAAGATTTGAAAGACTCCATTCTTGGGCCCAAAACTTCATCAAAACATCAACCACAAATCTTTATTATAAAAGAAAATATTAAACACTGACTTAGATATGGCATAACAAAAACCTAAATCTCAAATAATTTAGGTATACAAATACTTTCTAGGTCACATAGGGGTTGGGGGTAACTTGTGGCATATTTCAAACTACTTTATGCTCCCAGATTCCAAATGGATGTATTGACAAAAATCAGACAGCATGATGAGCTATATCCCACACAAATTAAAGAATGTTCCTTCAGTTACAACTCTGTGCCACTTTAAAATAAAATATTGAATATATGCATGTTACACACTAATGTACCTTTGACTTTTGACACGTAAACAAGGAAAAGACATGTCACAGGCAGTGACTCAAATCAGGCCTTCAATACAGTACCCAGGAATTCTACGCAATGCTAAAAATATAAGGCCAAGATTTGAATCTGGAACCTCCTAAAAATGAAAATAAACAGCACATTTGGCCACAACATTCAATGTCAATCTATAATCTCTGTAGAATGCCAAGGTACTGTTTATATAATAAATAATGGAAAACAACCATCTTCACCAACTTACCTTGACCCATTTGTCAGGAAGCAGAGGCAAAAGTGGTTTGATATTATTTGAAAAATGTATATTAGTATCAGTAGTTTTGCAAGCCCACGTTTTATAGCTCCTAAATACCACACTACAGACATGAAATTCATAGATGAGACAAAGATGTGTATAAAATCATGTAGAATCATTAAAAAATATACAATTATCAGGTTTTATAGCTCACACTGAATTTCAGGTATAAGTGGTGCCATGAGACATTTATGATATTGTCTTCTCAAACTTGATTAATGTGAAAAATGTATAGAAATTGGAGTTTAACATAGACACAATTTTATTTTTTTAAAATTGTGTTATATCATGTATTGTTCAATATGCCTCCAGCACATTCGTTTCTCATTATATTTTTATACTGTCATACCTGGATAGCTTGATGCCTCCCTGTCTGCACTAGTTGGTAAAGTTGGTCACTCTGTGTGGTCCAAACTGCAATGCATGTATTACACTCCATGCAACCTACTTCAAAATTTTTTTGTTCATCTTGTGAACATGTAAAAATACCAAAATGCAGAATATTGTGGAACAATGTCCGCCAATTTAAATGCCCTTTCTGTTTACCTTACTTAACTTACTCCACTTCAGAATTTATATAAGGTACCACAAAAAATAAATATGAAAAACCTGGTTCAAAAAGTAGTTTATAGTAAATTTATCATTAGTATTAATCATGACTGAAACTTGAAACAACCCTTTTGAAGTAATGCATCTGGAAAATATTAAAATCTTACTGACTGATGAAATGTGGTATTTGATGCACATAAATAATTTATGACAAACATTCTAACAGGAGATTTGACTGTCTCATATAACATTACAAACACAACTTCTGCCATATATTTACTACAAATTTTCACTAGTAGCTCCATATATAGCCTTTTATACATTCTTAAGGTCAGCCAATAATTTTCATTACATAAGCAATTTATTACTTTCTGCACTTAACCTGACGTCTCTTCCTTTCCGCCACCCACCATAGATCTGTCATCACACAATCTTTCCAGTTGCTCTGTGTAAAACGTATTGAAATCCAATCTAGAAACAAGAAATGGTACATGAAATAAAATAAATTCCAAACTCAAAAGACATACGAGATCTGGTCTTCTGGGTTGTGATGCTGGTGGGCTTGTAGACAGATACCAACATTTCAGGCAGACATATTTCCTCCGTCTCCAAGTCTCATTATGGAGACTGGTACTTACCTACATGTACACGTGGCACCACAACTCTGAAGACCAAACCGACATCAAAGAAGACATATATTTTCACACTGAAGTTAAGTTCTTATCACAGGCCTCAATATTTTCTGACCCTCTTGTGTACCCTCCTCCTTCTTCTTCTTCTTCTATGGCTCTCCTGTCCGTATTGGTCCATGGCCTCCTCAATTCTCCTCTTCCATTCGGTCCTCTGTTAGGTCCATCTGTCCGAGGCTTTGATCGAGGTTTCGAAACATCTTCCTTTTTACGGTGCAAGGTTGTTAGCCTTGATACCAACCCCCAACCTGGAGGACCAGGGTACCTGTCTTAGTCTGAACTCTCCCCCTCGACCAATCTGGCTAGGGAGGCCCTACCAGTAGCTATGCTACCGCCAGCATAACTCTTGGGATCACTGAAGTACTCAAGTCCCACCACCACGACAAGGTGCAGGTACCATTAAGTGGTGCCTCTTGTGTACCAATCAGATCCAAAAATATCTATCACCACATGAAGTGCCACAGTCTTTTATTACTTAAAGTGTTGTTACTCTCACCTTGAAAGTCTGCACAGCCACCATGGTAGTCTTAAAGACAACAATAGATTAAACAGAAACACAGGTGGATGGCCTTCAATGGCATACTGGTTCATACCAAGTTTCAAAAACTCTGTCCAATGGTTCATATGTTATTAGTGAGGATATAAACACATGACATGTTACAATAAGCTTACTGTTCCTCGTAAACTAAGGAAAATAGCTGAAAGTGCATTAATTATTCATCATCACACTTTGCATACTTAACAGAAATCTTCCCCGATGACGGGAGTTACGAGCGTATTACACGCCCATTTCAGAAAATGTCCTTACCTGTATAAAATATTGAGAACTTTCTCGTTGTTGTTTTCACGGCCAAGTTCTGAGATTTTGTCCAGAAGGCCAACAAGAACTGCAGTAAATTGCAAGTTAAACTTGGAAATGCTTTGTTCAAAGCTATCACTCTCGCCAGCCACGTTGCCCATAAGTTCTGGCGATGGGGGCGGTGTTTCCTTCAAAAATAATACTACTGTTAATAATACAAATCACAACACATCCAGCACATCCATGAAAACACCACAACACAAAAAGTGGAAAAAATAATGATGATGTGGTCTTAAAAGTCACATAAGCTAAAGTAACTCATCATGTATGACTTTAAAATCTTGGAGCTGCAATACCACCAGATAAAATCTCCTGAGCCAGTTCTTTTCAAAACTGGGGCATACACACACTGCACATGTCTTATTCCACACTAATGAGCTAATACGAGTATGTAGACTTATTACTGGGAAACAAATAATATGGAATAAATTACATGAATGAGGCAAAGAAAGTACAGTATTTAATCTTTAGCCAGAGCATGAACCCAACATTTCTAAAGAAATATACCATGGTCCTCCCAGCTTCTGTGCAGTCAAATATTCTCATATAAGACAGACTAATATTCTACGAGGGACAACAAAACACCAAATTACATTAACCAAAACACCTATTTAGCTACTCATACATGAAAAATATGCAATGATGATGAAAGAATCTGAGAAGTTCAATGCCAGCAATCTGATACACGTAAGATTTGAGGTGTTCACAGCGGTGAGTATGAAGATTTCTGTCTTCTGGGTTGTTGCGCTGTGTAGTCTGATCGATGTTAACCAACGTTTCAGAGGTCATACTGCCTCCGTCGTCCTGATGACAGAGGCAGTATGACCTCTGAAACGTTGGTTAACATTGATCAGACTACACAGCGCATCAACCCAGAAGACAGAAATCTTCAATCTGATAACACAGGGTAATTATAAATAAAAATAAATACTCTTTTAAGTTTAGATAGTAAAACTGTTCTGAGACACTGTTAAAGCAGATGTGGATGATAACGAGACAGGATCAACAGATGACATTTAACACTGCTGATATTCACAAATACAGAAGAGAAACGGAAGAGCTTTAAGAAAATAGCAGGATCTACAATGCAGGACAAAACCGTAACAAGTTTTCTATACTAAGATCGCAAAATTCTTTCTTCAACATGTTCACTGCATAATTGAGAAACAGGCTGAAACTGAAAAATTTAGTAATGACAAAGACTACTAAAAAGGGCACTAATAAAAAATCAGCATTCTAACAAAACATAAGATCATAAAACTCATAAATGTATCAATACTACTCAACATTAATAAAAGAATTGCTAGCATATTTTTTAACCCTGCTTCCATGCTCAATTTCTGAGAATAAAGCGTGAATGACTGATACCTCAGCATAAGCATCAGAGCCTTCATAGCCCTCATAAGTTGGTCCTAGCATGGACGTAAGTTCAGCGTCCAAATAGTACCTCCTCATATGCTGAATGAAAATGCAGCGTTAACAGACAACATCAAGTGAATATACAATTGGCTAAATCTTTCACTGAACGTTAGAGAGGAACCTGCTTTCATCTAATATTGATAAAAGAACAACTAATAGCATAATTTAACACAAATTTGCAGTACTGAGTATCAGTAAAGAAGAAATCAGAATGGTTTCAGGCACTACACTGCTTAACACTCACCAGTCCAACATCAAGGTGGTCATAATAACACATTTTATTCCACTACGTGCAAAGTCAAAGTCAGTATAGTGACTGGCTATGGACTGGGCGACCAGGGTTCGATCCCCGACGAGGGCAGAGGATTTTTCCTCTAGCCTCTGCGTCCAGACCGGCCCTTGGGCCCACCCAGCCACCTATCCAATGGGTACCAGGGTCCTTCCCTGGGGGTAAAGCACGGCCAGGACGTGATGCTGACCACTCACCCCCATCTAGTGCCGAGGTCAAGAATGAGTAGGAGCTATACTTCCACTCCCCCCAAGCACCTGCATGGCATATAGTGGGACAAACTTTGCTTTACTTTACGTGCAAAGCGGAGGTAAACTCAATTTTTGCTTTTACACGAATATTCCTGCATTTATCACTTGCAATATGATTTTATGTTTGCTATTGAAGAACTGGCATTCATCAATGGAAATCACTGTGGTTTCCTATCAGAAATTGCCTCCAAATGAAACAACTGCATGTCAGTATTCAATCAACAGCATCGCCAGCTAGCAGTCTGATCCTTCTCGTGTACAGCATTTGCAAGCCAATGCAATTGTCATATTGAAATAGGCTAAGTGTGGCCGACTGATATCAAGTAAAACAAAGGTACTAGGATCACACAAACCTTAGATATATATCAGTTATATTCATTGAATTAATATAATAATGATGAGGATATAGCTATGTTAACAATGTGTTGTGTTAAACATGAAGTACACACACACCCCAAATTCATCTACTTTCCAAAATGTTTAATCAGAAGACAAAACATCTTCTTCTTTTTCCGGTTTAACAATCTTTATACATTTTCCGGTATCCTTTTACGGGTCCCCAACTTTTTAGTTGGCTTGATCTATGGACATTCGGTAGGACTCCTTGGACGAGGGATCGGCCCGTCGCAAGGCCTCTACCTGCACACAGGAGAGCACAACACAGAAAAACATCCATGGCTTGAGTGGGATTCGAACCGATGGTCCCCGCAACCAAGCGGCCCAAGGCCCACACCTCAGACCACGCGGCCAATGCGGACTCCCAAAAGACAAACATGAAAACAGATTTCTCATTAATGTTAACTGCATGCAAAGTTAGAATTAGGGATCACATGTAAGATATGGAAGAAGCACACACACACAGTATTAACCTATTAAAAGTAAAGTGAACGTATCTTCTGTGAAAAGGCACGCTACTGATATCAGATCATAAGCAAACTAACAGTGATCATTTTAATTATTTCTTAGCCATATTTTACTATAATCTGAATATTTTTCTTTTTGGTTTTATGCAAATATAACTGTATTAACAAAAATTAATAGCTATACATATAAGAATGTCTTTAAGATCCCTGTAAGATGACCAAGTAAATCAGTAAGAAAATTCTTGGTTAAATATTGTGTATTACCTGTATGAAGTGGCAGAAGTGAACGCAGATGGCCATGAGTTTGTTCACGGTACGCAGTAAAGAAGGATTCGTAAGCATGCAGTCCTTAAGGCAATTGTCCAGGAAGTCTGAATGGCACACAAGTACATCATCCACATTGTTCACCTAAATACAGTATAATTCAGAAACATAAGCTTCATTTAATATGGTACTCCATTCTACACAGAACTATAGTACATTTATTAGCAAATTGTAACTCTCAGAAGTGTAGGTCTACGAACATTACAACTGACCATAAGAACAGCCCAATGTTAGATTCCAATAGATTCAGAGGATTCTGTCTTGAGTAAGTCATTCAAATGATTTTAAAGTCATACTGGTGTTAATTATGAGCCGGGATAGCTCAGTCAGTACAGTGACTAGCTACGGGCTGGACGACTGGGGTTCGATCCCCGACGAGGGCAGAGGATGTTACCTCTAGTCTCTGTGTCCAGACCAGCTCTGGGGCCCACCCAGCCTCCTCTACAATGGGTACCGGGGTCCTTTCCCGGGGGTAAAGCTGGCCGGGGCGTGATGCAGACCACTCACCCCCATCTAGTGCTGAGGTCAAGAAAGAGAGGAGCTATACCTCTACTCATCCCAAGCGCCTTTACAGCACATAGCTGGACAAACTTTTTACTGGTGTTAATTAAAATGTGCACAGAACAATAAAATTTAGTATTAAAAGGGGTATATGGTTAGACACACAACTGATCTGAACAGGTCTGTCTCATCACAAATTGTTAGTAGTCTAATAATTAAATCATAAACTGAAATGGGCAATGGATGTGTAAATTTTGGTTGGAGAACGTAGTGATAAGAGACCATCTGTAATACTGCTATCCCAACAACAGAATATTAGTAATACCATGGAAACAACAGTTCATGAGGAATCAAATTGATAGTTTGTGGTCTGGCATAGGACAGTTAAATCCCCCCCCCCCGGTTTTGAAGAAAGAGTACTACATGGTTTACCTTGTTGATGCTGGCAAGAAATGTAACCCAGTTGGGTTCAATTACTTCCACCATCATGTAATACTCAAGATTTTGCACACAGTTGAGCATACGTTGACGGAGGGCAAACGCCGATGCGTACGTCTTTGCAGCTCGAAGGGCAAATGACTTGGCCACCTTGTTACATATCCATACCCTAAAATTATCCAAAATCAAAGAGGAATATAAATAAATCAAAATAATTACACAGTGCTTAAGTAATAATCTCTTTCTGTAACAAAGGAATGCCATTCATAATGTAATTTCTTAATTCAGGCATATATTTAATTAAATTAATCAATTTACATGTATTGAAAACATATTAGGATAATAACCTTCACATGATATTTCACTTCAATTAAAAAATTCACAAGTAATTTCAGTGATGTCCAAGATAATTTCATAACATATTCACAGTATATGGAATATGGTAATAGGGGTATCTCATTAGACCACTGTAGCATATGGCAATCATTACCTTGTAAATAACGTATTAGTTAAAATAAGTAACAAAATACTCATCTTTTTACAGGCTACAGATACTACCCTGAAAACTATTTAATCTACTCAGTATTTTTCCAAATATATCTAAAACTGTATTTAGACCTCAAGTTCAGTGTAAAACATTATTCAATTTGGACCAGTTACATTTGAGATTTAGTTACAACGGTGGCAAAAGTTCAGACTGTCGTCTTTTGGGTTGTAACACTGTATAGTCTTGTCCATGGTAACCAACATTCCACAGGAAAATATTTCCTCCACCTCTACCCTGAAAACTGCAACTGCAATGTTTGCCTAAATTTTGGATAATTGAAGAAAACAGAAATCTTCATCACCCTGATGACGGAGGAAGTATGACCTCTGAAACGTTGGTTAACATCAACCAGACTACACAGCGCAACAACCCAGAAGACAGAAATCTTCATACTCACCGCTGTGAAAACCTCAAATCTTACTATTGGATAATTGTTAACATTCAACATGACTCGCCCCCAAAAGCTGAAGTTACACAACATATATATTCAGTTTGCAGAAATTATGTTGTAAAAATGTTTATTCATTGCTTAGTAATTTACCTGCATTAATTGCTAAGCATTCCAATGAAGGGTTAAAGTGAAGGTTTATGTATTGAGATTATAATTTTTCCGCTTCTTGCAATTTACACTTTCCCACAATTCACATCATTTCTCATCAATGCCAAGAAAAGCGTAAATAAGGAGTTCCACTGTATTACGCAATACAGGTTCATTGGGCAGTCTCTATTCAGGCTGAAGTGCAATGGGTTAAGAACTAATATCAATTAAATTAAATTCAGTTTAATAAGGTGCATCAATTATTCATGCTTAAGTATATTGCTCCATATCTGTACTTTGAGATAAGACAACAAGTTTTGCAAAAAAATTTGTAACAATCACAATTTAGTAGTGATAAAATTCTTGTTACCTGCATAAAAGACGTTCTACATGTTTACAGTAGAAAAGATGTCTGAAGATCATCTGATAACAAGCTATAGCTCTACGGTTCAGAACAAGTGAAACTGGCCACTTTACTTCATAACCAAAACAGAATGATTCCAAACCAAGCAGATGTAGTTTGTCTGATGGTAAACGATATTCTGAAAACCAAACCAATGCAGAAGTCTCATTACAAAGTCAGGAAGTATGAAAAGGGCACAAACTGTGCGAGTAAATACGGCATTTGACTTTTTACCATTTGGCAAGTCTTCTGTATCTGCAATTAATTTCATTAACACTTTTTATGAAACTAAGAATCATAATTGTGTTAACAAAGAAAGTCAGCAAACAAAATTGTACAAATTCATAACTGTTTCCCAAAATAAGACAAGAAAAGTATGCACCAATGAAGTTCCAATAGAAACATTGCTTTTGCAACCATTAATTTTATTTCCTTGAATAAGCAGTAGCAGCGAGCTAACAAGGGGTAGTCTTCCAACTTGGAGGTTTGATGGTGGACAAACAACTCGTCACAAAACATTAGCATGGTTCAAAATAATAGGCAGGACCTCAGACATTGCAAGCTGCTATAAACATGGAAATGAATCTTCACATTTCATAAAAGGCAGGTAATTTCTTTACTAGCTCATTGACTTCTCAATAAACACTTTGCTCCACCGAGTCACATAATAGACATTAGTATACACTAACCTTTCTCTTCATGAGTTTCTATGCTAAGAATTTTGAACATCTGGAACAGGAGATCATATGGAAGAAGTTCTGTCCGCATGTCATCTTTATAAGGATCTCCATTTGCTGCTGATGTTCGAAGTGCCAACTCCAACAGAGATTCAAGGCGTGTCGGAACAATATCATCGATGTTCTTGCTCAATTCTGCCTCACAAGAATCCATGAACTGAACTATAAAATCCCCTTGGTCCAGCAAGAAGTAATGCTTAACTGACCTAAAACAATTAATTAATAAATTTTCACTTCCTGAAAAGTCCATCTTATGTAACAGGAACTAATTCATATGTCTAAGCACATGAAACATAAAGTACTGTAGCATTTATCTCATCAATTAAACAAGACAAAATCTGCTTCAATATACTTCTTTCTAAACATGCACAGTCCAATGGAGGCCACACATGCTCCGGCTTGCCGGAAGGCCAGCCTTCCAAGTTAAAGCCGGAAGGTAAGCCTCAAACCTCTGAGAGTCCACATACATACAGACTTTGTGGCAGGTTTGTGATCAGTCTTTTTATTCTTCAGTCGATGCTACAACATGTTCAGTGAAGACGACGCAATTTTAATCGGTCTTGCTGTTACTTTAATATTGAAAAAGAAAAGAAAGTTGAAACGTTCTAAGTGCGTCAGAAGTTGGATAGATGGGTCAAAATATTCTCACATAAATTTGTTGAATGAAATTCGATTAGAGCCGACAGACTGGCAAAACTACCTGCGAATGGATGAGGACACATATTTTGAACTGTTAAACTTAGTTTAACTTAGTTAAACTACAAGGATTTGAAGTTCTCGGCGGCTGGTTGAGATGACTAAATGCTACAAGCCTTGCCTTTACCCTCGTCTCTGCCCATACACGTTACGACTTGTAAACATTCAGTAAGCCTCGAAGCAAGAAATCAAGCAAATGCAGATTTATCGGAGGCTCGGTTTCCGGCCAAATTCACCACACACGCTCCAGTTTGCCTTCAGGGATGTAAGCCTTCCGGCAAGCCGGAGCATGTGGGGCCACTCTAATACACCAACTTTCCACATCCCTCTTGCACAACTTTAAAAAGAGTTGTGAAATGCTCAGTATCTCCTCACTAGATTTTATGATAGATACTGCCTTAAGATTATTTTAACACCCAGCATTTAACATTTCAGATAACAGAATGTAATTCAAGCTTGAATGTTTCACATGCAAGAACAAGAAGAGACCATTATCTCATAATTATGGCAAATCCAGTCCACAGAAAATCACTTTACTAACTGATCTGTATTTGAAGGCTTGCAATTTGGAAGTGAAAGTATAAAGAAAATTCAATGTTGACATTACAATAATTTATGGGTAGGAATAATACTGTAATTACTATCTACCACCTGTATCTTCAAAATAAGAAAATGACAATTGGCCTCCTTTAAATAGTTTTCTGTTCTCCTACCACTACAAACAACTTGGAAAAATTCCTCACTCCAGGTTCTTAATAGTCGAATGACGACTTTCTGAGATTTGAGACTCTCACAACCGTGAAGAAGTCGATGGTCTTCTGGGTTGTGACATCATGTGTCTTGCAGATGGTCACCACATGGTGTCACTACCCATAAGATCACATATGACTAACGATGCCTCTGACGGCATATGTTCATCAGAAAGCAAATCTGCAAAAATACTTGAATATAATTCTTATTATGTTTTAAACATACTGAGCCATATACTGCATTACATACCGCAATCGGCCCATCAGATCATTCTCTTGCATTAAAAGCTCTAGAAGAGTTTTGCTTGCAAAGCGGTAAGCTTTTTCAATTGCTTCCACATATTGTCGTTCCTTAATTGTGTACACAATTTCCTCTGCCTGTGGTGATTTTACATTCTTGCCTGTGAACAAAAATGTTAAAAGAACAATGATGAAAGTTCAAGTTATGTATTTCAATTATGGTGAATTCTGATGAACTGCACATCATAAAGAGGCATTCTGCACTAGTGACATTAACAGTGAATCCAAGTATATAAGTGACTCTACATGAAGTGAATGTGAAACAACTGCTGAAAAGTATCAATACCTGGTAGCCACCCTAGAACTTATTAACACAGTTGTGAAACACTGATATGCTGATATAAGCCTTCAAGAAGAAGACTTGTGAAGATTTGAGGCTTTCACAGCAGTGAGTATGAAGATATCTGTCTTCTGGGTTGTTGCGCTGTGTAGTCTTTGTGAAGGTGCCTAAAACAAGAGTCATGACAAGTAAACAAATACAATTACAACTGAATTCCAGTTACTCAGACCAAAGTTATTACAAAGATTCAAAGAAGCCTTCCCAGTCACCATTAACATATCCAATTTTTAGGTTACTGAAAAAATTAATATCTGATTAAAGTCATGTTTAAACACTGAGTAAAATTAATGGAAATTTAATAATGTGATGTAGCTTCAACAATATACAGTTGGTCTGGAATGTATATAATACATTTGCACATCATTAAACTGAGACAGTGCAATATTCAGCAATATTTCCAATTAACTCTGACCACTTAGTCTCCATATAAACACAAGTTTGTAAAATACCAATCACATAAATCTTTTCCATTCTGAAAGAACTGAGCCTACTCAGTCATAAAACAGAAGTGACAAAAGAAATCCTCCCTCCCTTAGAAACTTCTATTTATGTTTAAGAAATATAAAACAATCTAATTTCTCTTTACTACCATATACTATCTATTATCAATGGTGAAAAATCGACTTGTGGTCCACAGTCTTTTCCAATTATGTGTGACAATAAACAGATAATTATTAAAATATCTGTCTGACATGTCAACTTACCACACTGACGTATGACATTCAGATATTTTCCTGTGAGTAAAATTACGTCAGCCACTCTCTCCAGGAAAACAGGAATCTTCTCACGTCTGATAACGTAACGCTTCTCCCAGTAATCAGATGAATAGTCAAAAGGCAATTCCTCCTTCTCAATTACTTCATTATCTTCAACCAAAAACTGTACAAAGCAAATGTTAAAAGCAGATTATTTTATGGAAATATTTAAAATGTCCCATAAGAATAGAAGATGATTATGTACAGTGGGGGTCCGCAGTGGCCGCACGGGCTGAGGCATGGGCCTTGTGCTGCTTGGTCGATGGGACCGTGGGTTCGAATCCCACTCAAACCATGGATGTTTGTCTGCGTTTTTCTGCGTCGTGCTGTCCTGTGTACAGGTAGAGGCCTTGCGACGGGCTGATCCCTCATCCAAGGAGTCCTACCGAATGTCGATAGATCAAGCAAACAAAACGTTGGGACCAGCAGTGCTTAGGCACTTGAAGAACGGGTTGTTCCAAGTATCCCAGTATGTATAATGGACATGATGGTCTAGGTAAGAGTTTTATCCCATCACTCTTTCAAAGAACAGCACAAAGAAAAAACTGTCCCACTACACACCATGTATGTATGCGTTTAAGAGAGGAGGTATAACTCTTACTCATTCTTAACTCTGGCACTAGATGGGGATCAGTGGTCAGGGCCATACCCCAGGCATGGTTTAAGAAGTGAGGATAATCACAAACATTACTCATGTTAAATCTGTGGTTAAACAAACAAGAAAATTATTTTCTTTATGCAAAATGAGTGGAGGTGGTTTACTTTGCGGGAAAGAAAATTGTAATTTTTTCTTCTCCTGCTTTCCACAGATTATACACAATCTTGTCTGAAGTTTGCAGGTATAAATAAAATAAAATAAAAGATAATATTAACAGTAATATGGTGGAAGATGGTGAGGTTGATGCTAAAGTAATACAGAAGTCTTCCATTATAGCTTTTTTTGTTGAAGGACACACTATCAACTGTATTCAAATATAATACAGCACATCTGGAAACTTTCTAGATTAATACCTATTCTTCCCACATAATATATCCACACTGCTTGTTTCATCTACAACTAAGAGATAAAATAAAAACAAGTAAGATTTGAGGTTTTCACAGCGGTGAGTATGAAGATTTCTGTCTTCTGAGTTATTGCGTTGTGTAGTCTGGTCGATGTTAACCAACGTTTCAGAGGTCATACTGCCTCCGTCATCAGGGGGATGAATCACCCCAGTGAGTATGAATATTTGTCTTCTGGGTTGTTGCGCTGTGTAGTCTGGTCGATGTTAACCAACATTTCAGAGGTGATACTGCCTCCGTCATCAGGGCAATGAATATTCATTCTGAAACGTTGGTTAACATTGACCAGACTACACAGCGCAACAACCCAGAAGACAGAAATCTTCAAAATAAAATCATATAAAACCAATGGTATACAATTTTACTTACTGAACAAACACATATTAAATGTTTAGGTGGCTCTAACAGAGACAGAAAGAACGCTGCTTGAAAAATAAAAACAGACACTATTACTATGTATTGTCATATCAACTTCAGCGATGGAATTGCAACTCACCTCTTCATATGGATCAGAGATTACTCCTTTGTACACCCACTTTTCTAATATTTCCATGTAAGGTACACATGCATTTTGTGTTAGATACAAACACAGTTCTTGACCTGCAGGATCTCCAATATAGTTTGAGGTCCGTTCATGTAGCAGGCTTAACACTTTACCACCTTTGGCTCCAGACTAGAAAAATGTATAAATGTCAGCTTAACATATTTATTGCTTTTGCTTTCATATTATTTATCCATAATAATATCATGGTACAGTCTTCCTTGAGTGATGATCAGTTAATACTTACAGTACACTGTATTTTTATTGTTCGAAGCCAAAAACATAAGAACCTGAATTTTCTTCTATAGGACTGGTAAGGAGGCTGAAATATTTACTTTAAATACATGATAGTTTGTTCCAGAAATAAGGTACAGTTTCCTGGAGATTACTCACTTTGCTAATAGTACTTGCTATATTTGCCAGAATTTCCATTGTGTGAAGGGTAGGCTGAATAAAGAACCAGAGTTTGTGTATGGAAAAATTGCCTTTGCGATTTGCAGTCTCCAACTGAGCCACCAGCACCATATAATCCTTAATAAGGGTATTCATGGCAGCTGTGAGCGCATGATTCACTTGTCCACACTCAAACTGGCTCTTCTCTTGGATGAATCGCATCACCATAGAATAATGTGATGCAAGGGGTAAAATCTGTTTCACCATCTCATGCAGGGAAGGATCTGAAATAAAAAACTTAAAGACATGTCTGAAATACATTAACATTTATTGTATCTTTATTTTTAAATATTACCAGAAAGAACAGAGATACAGTTTACGTACAACATTCAGATTAGGGAGAAAAAGATCACTTTCTTTTTTATATCAACTGTATGGTGTATTAAGCTTTCTGTCTTGGGTAGCAAATATTTACTGATGTTATAGTCACTTAATTTAGGACTCTTGTTGGAACAGAGTGATAAATGTTAGGGCATAAGTTAAAGTAATTCAGTGGTAAGACATCTTCAGATGACTGCTAAATACTGGTGTAGACCAGTGGTCCCCAACCTTTTTGTGCCTACGGGCACATTTGAGAGTTTATGAGATCATGGCGGGCACCAACCAATTAACAAAGCCAAATTTTCTTTTCTCTGGACAAATAAGATATGGACACCAAATAATACACAAAACAACACAATGTTTAATGATACAAGAAACCATGCAATCAAAAATACGTAGTTTATAAGTACAATTATTATTACTCAAGTGGGAAGTTATTGTGATGTCTGGCGCTGCATTTCAACGGCCAGTTTTTTAAATTTAGGAGTGTAGGATGATGTTGCTGCTCACAAACAATCATCAAGATGGGCGTCGGTAAGTCGAGATCTGCGCTTTGATTTTAAAATGTTCATGGCTGAATGGCCTTCATTATTCAGTATAACCTCTTTCTGTAACAACGCGGGCACCCTAAAAGCGGGGGACCACTGATGTAGAGTGCCTCTGTAATATTTGTAACTGTCATCGCTGGGGACCACTGATGTAGCGTGCCTCTGTAATATTTGTAACTGTCATCAACAACTTCACCACCATGAAATATCATATCAAAAACTGTTCTGAATTCAGTGTAATAAAGGTATGTAGTAGAGTACTACTTATCCCAAAAAAAGAAGCTCATAGTCACATAAAACATAAAAAAGTATGATTCAACATAATGAAAAAACATGACAGATTGCTTCTTTACTCAGAGCTTTGTATGTGTCATCTAACCAAAATCTTTGTCACATAAACCTCAATGAACAATATAAACAATAAGTTCACAATGTCAAGGCTTAACAACACTGAAGGGATTAGGGTTAATATGCCTCATTACAGAATCAGACAGATATATATGATTATTCTGGAATTCATTTTACACTTACCAATACTTTCACTAATGCTGAATACTCTTGTTTCATACAGACCCCGAAGAGGATTTGGAACAATATAATCACTTTCAGCTCCTTCAAGACAAAACAGTATTTCTTCTATCACCATACTTTCTTGAGAACATACTGGAATTGCTCCTACAAGATTCAAAATAAAGTTATTTCACACACACCAAAAATCACACACCCAAAAATCTCTAAATTCAGGCCTGGCTTCTCTTACCTAAAGGAGCAGCAAATGGTACTGGTCCACTATGATGTGTGACAAAATCCAGATTCATGTTAGGTCTCACAGAATTCCAGTTTGGCATCACTGGTGACTGGTAATTGGGATGCCGTGCCTTTTCTTGTGTCTCTACTTTATTTAAAGGTAAACTTCTTTTTTCTTCAGCTATTTCCACTTCCTTGTGCAGGCGACTACGAATCTGAGTTTGGCAAACACGAACAAACATAATTATTACAAAATCTTATGTATCATCTACAAAGATGACAATCTTAACATTGGTTTGCAATTTTGTTTCTAGAAACTTACCACAGGCAGATCCTCTGTAGTTACCTTCTCTACAATTTCAGAATCTCTTAAAGGATCACTAATGCTCCCTACTGATGCTTGAGAGGTCTGAGAATTCTGTAAATTTGTGGATGCAGTCTTGGCATTTTTCTCCAGATATTCTTTCAATTTCCTGTCTTCTGAGATTACTGATAGTAACTGAATAAAAGGGCGAAGACAATCAGTGCTGTAATTGAAAATTCAATTATTAACAATTTCTTTAAAACATGACATTCACATTAGTGCATTAAATAATACAAGTAAATCTGTTATATTAAATTGGTGTAAAATATTATATACATGCCATAGTAAAGATCAACAACCAGTTAACATCAATGTTAAAGACCTGGTGACATTCTCTTCCTTAGATGGCAAACAAAGAAAAGAAGACACAAAATAGTGTATATAATGTTTACTCCTTCTGGACCAACTTCACAGTACAGTGACCATATATACCTGTCACTGAATTTAGGTGTTACTAGTCTTAACTATTAAACTAATCTAACATTAACTGACACAAGTGGTCACAATAATATTAAGATATATAATCCCTTTCATATATTCATCATAAATGTCCCACAAACTAATTTTAATAAAATCTGTAGAGTACATCTTACTTTTTAGCTTTTAATTCTTCATACTTCTCAATGAAGCTCTCACGATTTGGGCTATTTTGTGCAAGTTGCCTAACACAGTTTTGTGTTGCATGGTTGTATGAAGACACTGTGGTTGTACCAGCTCTTTGAAGGTTCTCAACATATGATTCAGGTGAAGCATTTGAGCTGGAATTATAATTTGTTTAGATTTCACAAATCCATCATAGTACAAGCCAATGATGTAGAACATGTCATATTACATTAAACATACAAATACACTTAATTTCAAATAATCTGACATATCCAAGACCAATAATATTGTAAATGAAGCACTTGTTCACATCTAGCAAATATGTATACTAATGAAACTTACAAACAGTGAAATGACAAGCATCAGATTTTAAAAATATATATGAAAAAAGTATTCTTAAACAAACAAGAAGGTTCCCTACTGAATACTACACAATGCTAACACTGAATGTCACAGCCCATCATACTACAAAAAATTTGGAAAACTTAGTTGAGGGCAGCAACCTAATTACAGAGGTCAACCCCCCAAAAGTCCCAGGGAATACATTAATTAATTAGTTTCAGATTTATACTCAGAGTTAAAAATTCGACGCTTCATATGGAGCACTGAAATACACTAGAACTAAAGAATGATACACAAAAGTGAACCTGCAATTGGCATGAAAAGCTATTAGTATGACATATCAGATAAAATTACAGATCAAAATAAAAAAGGTTTACTTTAGTTACCCTAAATGTTCTATTAACTCTGTCACCAGGTGATGAACTTTAAATTCACTCATTGCTACGTTGAATAACTATAATAAAATTACAGAAATAACCGCCTAAGGAATATTATCATCCATGTTATTTAGAGCACCAACGCATTGCGCACGGCTTAAAATCAGGGAGCCCAACGTATAAAATCTCAATGATACCTATGGGGAATATAATAAACTCAAATTATCAATGTTAATTTACAAAACTGTTTAAAAAATATTTCATGAGTAATGTCAACAACGAATTTGTGACAACACTGTACGTTTCACTATTGAAATTTGAAGAAAGTCCATAATATGGTAGCATTGATAATGCCTGTCTCGTGTGACGCCTGCGCAGTACGCTTACTAGATGGAAATAATGGCGCCTTAGTTGTTTGGTTAGTGTTGTTAGTTTATGTAAAGTTCTGTATGCTGTTTGCATTGATTCAACATGATAAGGCCATCGGTAAGAAGTTAATAATTACAAGCATGTGCCCATACTTTTCTAGCTTAAACAGATGCATTAAATTTTGAAAAAACAAATTTCATTTAATTTTGTACTGCCAAGAAAAATTGTGTTGATCTAGGTACAGAGTACTTGGTTGGTGCTTGAACGTGGGGAGGTGGCATAGCTCCTACTCATTCTTAACCTCTGCACTAGGTGGGGGTCACTGGTTAGCGTCACACTCCGGCCGCGCTTTACCCCCGGAAAAGGATCCCGGTACTCATTACGTAGTAGGCTGAGTGGGCCCAGAGCCGGTCTGGGCGCAGAGGCTAGAGGAAAAATCCTGTTCCCCCGTCGGGGATCGAACCCCGGTCGTCCAGTCTGTAGTCAGCCATTATACTGACAGCTACCCCTGCACCCTTAAGGTGTAGAGTATGAGGATAAAACAATTGAAAAATTGGAAACAATTTAATTTTTTGGCCTACAAATTCATACTACCTTTAATTGGAAAACACATATTGAATATATTGTTCCTAAGCTGTGCTCAGCATACTTTGTTATGAAGACTGTCATCACTCATGGAAACAAACTTTAAAATTAATCTACTTTACTTACTTCCATTTGATCATGTTTTATGGAGTTCTTTTCTGTGGAAACTCAAAAGACAGAAAGAAAGTATACTAATTCTTAGAATAATGACAGGCACTAAAAGGAGAGACTCTTGTAGGGAATTATTTAAGAAGTTTAATATTCTTCTACTACCCAGTAAATTCTTGCCCTATTATTATTGTTTGTAGCAGACAACGTAGAAATATTTCAAACAAACTCAGATATCCACGATATAAGTACAAGATACAGATATAACCTTAATATGCCAAACACAACACAACAAAATGTGATATACGCTACATCTCATGAAGCACGTTCTATATGCTGAATGCTAAAATTTAAAGTAAATTGTTCATATATGGTGTTGCAGCTACTGAAACTCATTACTAAAACCCCACTGACTGGAAGTGTCACAGGTCAAGCAGCGAGATTCGCCACACAGCAAGTTGAACCTTCAAGAATGGAGAAAAGTATGTGGTGATATGAGAGTGTAAAAATCTGTATATAAGTAGTGATTTAATTACATCACTACTTATATACAGATTTTAAAGGAACAGTTGTATTACATTTTGTTTTTTATGCAGTTCATAATACTCTTGTTTATGAATAATTAAAATTATTTCAGCATTAAATGAAGTCAAACTGTTGGGTCGTGTTGGTGGGGAACCTCAGAAACGGGGAACAGAAGAGCATCCTGTTGTTATTTTCTCTCTTGCAACACATACAAATTACAAATATGACACAGGTAAGGAATTCTGTGATAAATTATTTTTCTCTGATGTTCTGCATGCTCCTTCCTAGGATGTATGGGTTGCATCTATATCTGTCTGCAAGATACTCACCTTATATGAAAACAGACATTTGGTAGTGTATATTTACATCTAGAAATAATGCAACTGATTTAATTTCTTATGTGTTAGCAATACTCATGAAGTTCTGTGTTCCTGCCACCTCTTATAAGCAATTTAAGGCACATTGACTTTTCACCTAAAACAGGGTGGATCTTCCTTGTATATGATATTTAAACTGAGTTACACATGTATATTGTCTAGATCATCTGTCCGAGTAACAACATTGAACACTAGTGAACTTGTACACAGAAGTGATGAATTGAGATTGAATGGAATAGGTGGGATGGGGATTAATTGTATTGTAGGCAGGATATGGAAAAGTTCATAAAATTTTTCATGTCATAATGACCATACTTGGGGCCAGGGCTCCAGAAATACAATGAAAATCTGCTAACCATTCAACAAACTCCAATCAGCCGTATTTTACGGTATGCTTCATGGCTGTGCAGTAGCTCAGGTGGTTAGTAACCAGGTTTTTCTCCAAGCCTTTCAGTTTTCCCATCAGTATCGTTACACTATTGCTAGGGTTATGTTTATGTAGGAGGAAAAATGTATTCAGTCTTCAGGGATTGAGAATAGAATTAACTACCTTAGCATGCGCAGATAGTTGTTGGCTAAGGATCGGGTTGGTTCACGGGTTTGTGTGTGTCGTGTTTCAGGTGAGTTTGTTCAAAGGACAGATTGGCATCGGATATGCGTATTCAAGCCTTCGCTTCGTGACACAGTTTACACTTACCTCAAGAAGGGACAGAGAATTTATGTCTCAGGAAGGCTTACATATGGTGAAATTAAGGATGAAGAGGGTAATCCCCGTACCACCACATCAATTGTAGCAGATGATGTTATATTCTTCCAGACAAGTGATTAACTCACATTAAAATAATTATGGGAGTTCTAAGTTGCTGCATCTGAAAAAAATATATACAATAAGGATTTCTTTCATTTGAACATGTAAATTGAAGTACATAATTCATAGAGTTACATGATCTAAAATTTGATTTGTTACTGAATTAAAATGAAGGCATACATGTAATTATCTGGAATTGGAGTTTGAAGTGGCATTAGGTAAGGCATTTGGGCATTTGTTGACTTTGGTTTGATATGATGGACAGGTTAATATCTCTTTACTGCAAAGAGTGGAATCGTTCATTAGTCTAATTCCAGTGTTATTATATCCATATTCTTGTATTGCATTTGTATGTGGATATTTGTAAGGGTTAAAATGTATTAAAACATTTTATATCACTCATAATAAAGTACTCTTTACTCTTGTTTTTACCATACCAAGCTGTTTGTCGTATTTACAGCCTTTACAGGAAAATAATGATTTTAAGTTTCTATAATTTGTACAATTTTTTATTTTTTCTGTTCACAAGTATGAGATCTTTCTTCATTGCCCTGTTCTGCAGTAACCAAGATATGTTTTAATCTGGTTTCCCATATTATGATCAAATTCACCCTAAACCCAGCTGCCTGATTATCCCAACTATTCCCCCAATGTCATGGGTAATTCTTTTAAGGATTGCAAAGCAGATGCATCGCCTATCTACAGTTTCCATTCCATTTTCTAGCAAGCTGCAAAGCATCCCAGCATTTGATACACTGTATTCATATATATTCACACCCACATTCATTAGACAGCCTTCTTTAATATTTATAAAAAATTTGAGTTCAAAAGGTGAAATGAACCCTCAAACTTTTAACTGTACAATACAATGCTATATAACCTTTCAGTAAAACTTCTTTTAAACTTTAATATTAAGGCAAACTTGTATTATTAATACAAGGCTTGCTAAATAGCATATATTTAATCATTTTTAAGCTATCTTATATGTACAAAGCTCTACATCACCTGTGAGAATTTGCAGGCAGTTTTTTAAATTATATACAACAAAACAATATTAAAAATAACTCATATTGCAGCAGATAATAATACAGCAAGAGATCACATCACAGAGTGAAAAAATACAATTAAATAAAATTTTAAATTTTTCAAAACACTAGAGTAATCATATTTATATAATGCCAGTTTCAAACATGAGCAAAATTATTTGTGTAATGTAATAATTTAAAAAAAGATTCCCATTAACACCCAATGCACCAAGAGTCAATTAAAACAATTCCCCCACTTTCAAACCCAAAACCATGATTCAGTAAAAATAATTGAAGAAACTGTTACCACAATCATAACAGATACTATTTTCTGTTGGTGGAATGTTTCTGTTGTTGTTTCATACGTATTTATATCCTACCAATTTACCAACACTTCAAATTTTCTTTTTTCACATTACAGATTTGAGCATCCTACTAGGACGAATAACACTTGATCCATATTATTTTAGCTGCCCCTTTAATGTTTTTCAATTAGATTAAATCAAACTTGAGACAACACTGACAAGTCCCCTCTGTAGTAACATTGACGACGATTCATATTAGTTTTTACCTTCTCGGGCAGTAGCAGAATGACTCATTTATCTCTAACACGATATATTTTATGCTATATCAGAACAGGAAACAGCTTTGTTTCTAGTAGTGGTAAACCACAACTGGTTTGAAGGGAAAGTATTTGGTGGTTCTACTCACCAACTTTCCTGTGGATCTTGCATTAATAATCTTGGCACTATTTTACAGCTGTCTTTCTAATAAAACAACCGTTCTTTTAACAGCAACAATTCTGCATTGCTGTCAACCTACACATAACGACCCAATGAACAAGGAGTACATAACAAGACTGCAGCCGCACTACACAACGTACGCTATATATAGTACATCCAGTACAGCAAAAGTGTGCAGATGATCGTAGCTGTAGCTAAATTTCCAGACATCTTACGCATTTCACTCAGTAATTACTTACATTAATATTCTGTAATTCGGCAACAATTTTAAAAATAGACGCATTTCAAGTTACACCTTATTTTCTTCAGAAGATATTTCCTGAGGAAGTTAAATGAAACTCCCTTAGGAAGTTAATATTTCTTGTATAACATTCTACGGACACTGCTTGTTGCAATCGAGCAAACTTTCTGGCACACAAAAAGATTTCACACCGTAACCATATTATTTCAATACACTTTTATAAATATTCATGGTCCAATGTGGCAGTTCCTTTTCTTATATACAACAGAAGTCATCCATCAAAGCTTCTTCAGTGTGGATCTTCCTTCATAATATTTTACACAGAATAGTTAGTGTTACGGAACATCCACATTTCATATCTTGGACTACATTCATATTCAGATTTTAGTTCACTCGCAAATCCCTGATTACTTCCACAAGAACAGTGGAAACTCGCAGATAATCACTTGTTCTCGTCTGTACTCTCAGAATCTGATTTGATCTTGATGCCATTGAACTGAGTAGACGAGTCTCTGCTCGCGGAAATATTGACCTCCGACTGACAGTGTATGACCCGATGTTCAGACGTGTGACGACTCGGGCTAAGGTCTGTGGGGTGCTCCATACTCAGGTCTGTTGGGAGCAAGTCCTCGTCTATCGGAGAATCGCCTTCCTCTAGGTCAGGTTCAACTTTGATACTGACTGCCACAGGGGGCATCACCTGATGCTGATGCTGTTGCAGGGAAGCTGGTGGTCTGGTAGGGCTCATCTGCTGACGAAGAAGTGACATATTCTTGATACTCTTCAATTCACTTGGGTTACGAAGGAATCTGCAACAAAACAACATAATGAAGCATAATTTTAAAAGGGTATAATCATCGCAACAACAAATTAATATTCCTGGCATATGCGTTGCTATTAGGAGAAAAAAGAAAATGTTTTAGAAGCTAACTTTGCCTTCAACAAGAATAACAAATGCAAAGGACTGGTTGCTAACCAACTAGATGGCTCGAGGAACCTGAAACTTCATCACCGAATTAACCAAAGCCCTCCACCGGACCCTGTCCCGGGCCAACAAAATCCAGGATCCTTCGACTCCTATCTCCCACAGATCCCGCCTGAGATTATCCTTCCGTCTAGGTCTCCCAAGTAGTCTCTTCCCCTCAGGTTTCCCAACCAATACCCGGTGCACGCTACATGTCCCGCCCATCTCATTCTTCTCGACTTAATCACCCTGACAATACTGGGGGAGGAGTACAGATTTTTAAGTTTGTCATTATGCAGTTTTCTCCATGCCCCATTATCTTCTCTCCTAGGCCCAAATATCCTCCTCAACTCCCTATTCTCAAAAACCTGCAATCTATGTTCCTCCCTCTGAGTGAGAGACCATGTTCCGCACCCATATAAAAACAACAGGCAAAATTATTGTTTTGTATATTTTAATCTTCAGGTTCTTAGAAGTCAGACGGGAAGACAAAATATTTTGAACTGAGAAGTAGCAAGCACTTCCGGAATTTAGTCTCCTCCTAACCTCCTCATGAGTATAAGGACTGGTTGCTACAAAAAGAAATGCAAGAGAAACTAACTATACGAGCACAATGTAAAAGAAGCGCAAGTATATTTTAATGATGTAATTCACATAAGTTCTGAGTTTAAGTAAAGTTATTACTTTTTTCCCAAGTTTCTGTTCCTGTACCCCTGAAACATGCCATTTCTTTAACATGTGTTTACTCATGGCTCATTACAGATTATGTACCAACCCATCCCTCACTTATCACACACCAAGTCATGAAATGAAAATTCTTTAAGCAGAGAACAGTAAAAACAAAGTAACTCACTGATAACAGTGCCGTTCCCCTTGCACTTTGCGCAGGATGTTAACCCGGTAGTAATAACGGAGAGCTCTTGACATTTTATCGTAATTCATAGAAAGGTGATTCTTTTGAATGCCCCACAATTTGGCCAGTCCTGCCGGATCTACGATCTTGAACACTCCGGTATCACGGTTCTTCCACGCTATGTAGTTGGTGTAACGCTGAGTGGGATCATTCAGCAGCTGCTGGAGGAAATCCCACAGTAATCTTCCATCTGTAAAAGAACCACAGTGCTTTTCTTTAGCTGTATTGATAAGTAGAGTATTAAAACCATTCCCCACTTAATGGTACCTGCACCTTGTCGTGGTGGTGGGGCTTGAGTGCCTCAGTGACCCCAAGAGTTATGCTGGCGGTAGCATAGCTACTGGTAGGGCCTCCCTAGCCAGATTGGTCGAGGGGGAGAGGTCAGACTAAGACAGGTACCCTGGTCCTCCAGG